TGTACCAATAAACTCAATAAAAAAAAAAAAAAAAAAGAGAGAGAGAGAAATGTGTATACAAAATGATCAATATGTAATTTTGAATGTGGATTCTGATAGGTTTACCTCTAGGCTCAAAATCCCTTTGACTTTCCAAGAAATAATCAAGTCTTCACATTCATGTAACTGCCCAGTTTTTATCTTCTGATTCTGATTTCCCCAAAGCTGGCACTGTGCCTACCTAGGATTACTTAATATCTTGCTCACATCTTGCCAATGTAATCCATAAAAATGACATTTTTTTCTTTATACAAAATATTCCTTTCCACATGAGCTATGTATTCGGCCTAGTTTTCTGAGTAATTCCCAATTGTTGATTATTTACAGTATTTCCAATGCTTCTTGTCCACTCAACATCTCACAAATTTAAGTACTGATTTCCTGGGTCATTTTTCTATTATCAACATGAGAAGTTGTGTGAGCTACAGTCATTTCTCTCAGCAACCCCCTTCCATGCTGTTCAAATATTTTTCATCGTCCTCTTGCTTATAATTATGCCTATTGTACCATGGAAAAGCATAATGAACTTGAAGAACAAAGCATCCTAGATTCTCTGAAAGCGGGCCAGTACTTTTAATAAATGTGCAGTTGTGACCTAAAGACTTTCCTTAAAGCCCACACATCACATTCACATCTATTTTGCCTTCACCAAGAGTGCCCCCATCTAATCCATGGTCCTACTTTTTTCAGTGATGAAGGCCTGGATGAGAATTGATACTAGAACCTTCAAGAGAGCTCTGTCTGCCATGATTGTATCAATTACTAAATACTTTGCATCTGTTGCAAAGTTTTTTTGAAGTCCTTAGTAATAAACCATCTTTTCTGTAATGAACTTATTTCTATCAAAGTATGTTTTACTTTTTGTTGTTGTTGTTGTTTGTTTGTTTGTTTTTGGCTAATATGGTTCTTCAGTTAAAGGGTTCATCCATGTTATTCCTAGTTGGGAAAGAAAAAGTTTAGAAAATACATCTTCATAGAATCGTGCAAGTGTAGATTCATACTCTTCCTTGATTCCTCCTCCAGAAATTGAACTTGAGCATTAGTAAACATCCAGAAAATTTTAGCCTAAATTAGAAGAGAGTGTATTAAAGGTACCTATCTATGTAATCTACTTCTGGAATAACTCTCAAATTAGATGTTCTTAATTTTTCATCTTTTTGTGCTTTTGTTGGTCAGGACATTCTGTTGTGTTGAATTTCCCTGGTATTGTATTTGTCATTATACTCTTGGATGTTATTTTTGGTTGCCAAAATGAAGTTCCTGCACGTCTACAGGTTCCTTTCCCTGAGACCTCACCCCATTCTATGAGTAGCTCTTGTTGCAGAGTTGTTCCCCTTCCAACGCATTGTATCGCTGAATTCTCTGGGTATTTTCTGCACAGGACATGTCTCTGACACTTGGTATAGATTGTTAAATACAGTAGGTAAGGGTATTATGGAGAGTAAAAGTGGATGGAATAGAAGTACTCAGAAGCATTTATATGAGAGCAGAAACTTATGCAGAGTTGCAGACACTGATTTCTTCAACTATCTCCTAACTTTGAATCTAGAAATGAATTTAATATTAAGAGTAAATTATATTTTATCTAGAAAGAAACCCAGGAAATTATTTTGCCTTTCAACGATTAAGAAACTGTATTTTTAGAAATTTTTAAAACTGTAAATATTTTAGTTTCAATGAGTGACATTTCCTTGGATATACAGAATGTATTTAGAGCACTGTCCCATTTTGCAAATGTATGCTGTAATATTTCAAAAACTGTTTTTTAGGTATTCTACAACTGTAGTTGTCTTGAAGTTTCTGGTTTCAAGAGTATGAATTATTCTGCTCATTTGGGTGAATGCCCAAGAGATAGTAACTGTAGAAAGAGACATTACTTTTATGTAGCTGTGCAAGTCATGGATGCTTTTTTCTCTGCACTGGGAGCCACTTCGTTTATCTTGTTGCTTGTAAAGTGAGTATGAAATTTCTTGTGTACTAGACTATAATCTTACCTAATAATATACATATTTTTCACAATATCTTTGGGCCCCAAGTTCATATCTTGTTATATTTTGATGATCTGAGAATACATCTTCTTAGCATTATTGTGACACTTTGATGCTATCATTAATAGTAGTTTTCCCTCTGATTCTTTCATTATGGAATTTGGATTTCATACTTTCTACTCTTGCTAAGATCCCAAGACACAGACTGACAGCTGCCTCAATTTGAAAAGAATATGTCTATGACTCAAAAAACAAAGTTAATTTTCAATTGTTATGCATCCTATAAGCCTGTCGGGGTGAAACATTTATTGATTTCATTGAAAAAAAATTTGTGCATCAGTTCCAAATTTAAATCTCAGTCAATAATAATATTCCAATGTTTTCAATCCACCCACAGAATAGCTTTTGATCTAGTCTCTCAGAGTATTCCATAGATAAAAGCAAATTATATGAAAAGATTTTATTTCTTTTTTCACTTATTAGATAAACATTTGAACAAGATACCATGCTTGCTGAAGAATATTTCATGGTAAATAAAACAGATAAGGTAACTTTTGCCATGTATCTTAGAGTACAGCAAAAAAGACTGACATAAAACAAGCTTAAAAGTAAACATAATTATAAAATGTTCTTAGTACTAATCAGAAAAAGTTTGTCATTAAAAGGAATAAACAGGGAAACTTGATTTAGGGTAGAGGTTAGGGGCTGCAAAGGAGAGGAGTCAGAGTATTTCTCAAAAGAAATCATATTTGATTTAAAGATCAAGGAACCAAATGAAGTGATGTTCATTTGCCATCTGCAGGCAGGGATAAACTGATGCATTCAGGGCAGGGAAACAAGCGGTTTGGTTGGAAGGTGCTGAGATGGGTGTGACGCAGCCATAGCATCGGAAGGATAGTCTTTGTGGATATTAAAATAACCAGAAGTGGCAGAGATAGTTTTAGGAAAAATGACAGAGATCCTAGAGCTACAGTCACTAAGGAATGATCAATGGGATTGGTGATGGGGGACTCTGCAGATGACTTCAGCAAGGAAGCTTGGGAATGGAATATTAGGGTAACACAGTTTCCAGGGAGCTGGAAGTATCTTAGAGGAAGAAATTGGATCTGAAAGTGGTTTTAAAAAAAAAAACTAGAAGAAAACCTCCATTTTTCAAGATGTGGGGAAAAAATAGCCATCACTTGAGAGAGCGATATGGAAAGAGGGTCATGGGGAGACAGCCAGAGTTTATCTAGGAGAAGAAAGTGAAGGACTATGAAGAATGTAGGATTGAAGGATGCAGCTGGTAGTAGTCTAGGAATTCCAGAGAGTAAAATGGAAGAGTGTAAGTAATGGAAAAGGAGTAGGATACTGCGTGGAATTAGGAATTTAGTAAATCAGGGGAGGTTCAGAGCCGTGATGTCTAGAGATGATCTCAAATCTCTGGATTCTGCTGGCAACAGAGATGTGAGATAGGGTCAAAGCTTTGACTGAAAAAATACTAATTCACAATAGCCTCCAAGAGGGCAGTATTTTAAATTGTTTGTTGCTCTTGTTTTGTTTTTAACTTACATTTTAATCATTTGGGTCATTTAGGAAACAAGCAGTGCTTCTCTTCTATCTTTTCCAAATGGATAATCAAGCATTCCCCTTTTGGGCGCTCTTTCGGCTAGGTTTTTAGATCTTGCTGATAATCCTCTCAGAACTTAGCAAGAACAACAGTGGATCAATTCAAATTAAATGTGTTATATCAATGATTAAGTTTTAAAATAGACAAACACAAATAACACATAGAGCTTCTTGAAGAGCTTTGTATGATAGATTCACACTGGAAAGGTCGATAGAAATCCTGAATACCTCAGGAGCAGATGTGAGGTGAAGTGGCACTGCAGTGATAGTGAGTGCTTATGTGAGGGCAATGGGTGCACAGAAGTGTGTGTGCGATTATGGGGGATGAACACTAACATGTGGCTGTGTGTGGGTGTGCATGCATGACAATATAAGACTGGGTGGCTATTCTTCTGTGTGTGTGTCACTAGATCACACAACTCAACCATTTCCACTGAGTTGTTGGTGAAAGTTTCAAGCCCCTTCCAGGAAAATATTAACCCTCCTTCCTAATCCTCCCAGTTCACTGGTATGTGGATCCTCTCCCTGGGGAGAAGAGACGATGGTGAATATCAGTTTGCCTCTTATGTTTCTAGTGTGTAACACGAATGCACCCTTTGAAAGTCAGTAGCTGTGGAAATGGAACTTCAGGCACTTGTGAGAGAGTTGAAGCTGGGTGGAACTGTGTTCTCTCCCTTAAAATATCCCTTGGGAAATGTGATGCTTTAGAGAAAGATTTCAACAGACAAGTTATCATGTCCTTCCTGCTAATTTCCCATCTCCCTTCATGGTGGATCCACCTCCTCACACCCAGGTGCAATGTTGTGCCCTCAGTTGACAGAGTGGAGGCTCCGAGACCAAAATACTTTCTTGCCTAATGCATTAAAATGTTATGCTTAATTTTTGTTATGCTATGTTTAATTTCATCTTGCCATATGCAATTTTATAAGTGTTCTTAAATTGTGTTTTTTTTTTGTTTGCTTTCTTTTTGTTTGTTTGTTTGTTATTGTCACTGTTGCTATTTAAAGAAAATGTCTCACTATTGCCCAAGCTCTTCTCAAACTCCTGGGATCAAATGATCCTCCTGCCTCAGTCTCCTGAAGAGCAAGGACTATGGTATGCACCAGCATACCTGGCTTTCTCAAATATTTTTGAGATTCTCAATAGATGATGGCTCTTCTGAAAGAATTAAGAAGCAAATTCATTGTGCTATCTCTTTGTATTGGATTCTCATAAAATAGGAGATAAGCTGTCTTTTCTTCATGTAGCAAATAAGGAAAGTGAGGCTAAGAGAAGTTGAATGTCTTCTCCAAGATGCTTAGTTGATATGGAGTATCCTTTATCACTTTGTTCTCAAGAAAAAGCACAGCATCCTCCAGGAAATGCTTTATGAATGTTCACTGGGTGCTCCTAACAACTAAGATCCCTGAACAAATAGTCACCAACTAGTTCAAGGCAAAGAAGACAACATTGGTATCATGTGATTCAATCTTTTAGTAAATGTGTTTTTTCTGAGCCTTAGTGACTTTCCGCAGGCCAGCTAATTTTTTTTCACTTAGCATGTATTAGCTTATCATGGGGCTCATGATGCCCCTAACTCACTGAACACAGAGAAAAATGGAATTGTGGGAGTAACTTTCCAAATGCAAGAGAGAATGAATTCTAAGCAAGGATACAAATATGCTCTTACTTTTAAGATGGCAGTTGTATATACTGGTTGTTAGAATACAGATTTTTTTTCACTCATATTATATTGCATAATTCATGCTACACGGTAGTAAACTTTTTTGTTGACATCAGTGACAGAATGAAGCTAGTGGACGGGGTTAGATAAATACTTGTTCTTTTCCTGTGAATTGTTTCCACTGAATAGCTCACATGATATCAGTGTCTTTTTAGGCATCACAAAGCTGGTTACAGTCATATTCTCGCAGAATTGTCATAAGGAGCTAATTTGAAAATGCTCACTAAACTCTCTTGAAATTAAACTACATTGAATAGTGATTAATTATTCCTGCTCAAATATGTACCTCTTTTTTTAAAAACCTGAAAATAATAACATTTATAAAGTGGGCCTTCCACTCAGGGCTTTATACTCAAGCATGAAGAAAAATGACATAAGAATGTATTTTAAAGATGGCAAATGTTTCTTTGTCTTTTGTCTTATTTCAGGAATGTTCTACCTGAATTAAAATCACTTGCAATGGGTTTCCATTCGCTGGTTATACGAGCACTAGGTATGTGAAATTTATTAAATCCAGGATATAAATATTCATGTCATAGATCAAAACCTGAATAAAATTAATTCCTGACTATAAGAAACCTTAAGAAAAGTATAAATGATAATCATTTCTATTGTTCTGGTAAATGAAAATAATAAAAGAAAGGAAAATTGAGTGGCCCAAAAGGACACTTGATTGTTGATTCTAAAATCAAACTGTTAAGACCAGGGAATCATTGCATTTGTATCATATGGTATAATATAAAGTTAGGCAGTCCCCAGAGAGTTTTGCTTAGGAATATTTATTCTAGGTAGGCAAAATGAAGGGCCTTTGTCCTAAACTAAGACATAATGTGGGTAATGCCAGAATCAGGGTGGGAGTTCTGGGAATTTGAAAGCTGAGATCTGGAAAAACAAAACGATATTATCTGCACAGGTCCCCACTGCCAAGTCCCATGAGGCTGGGTAGCTTCTTTACCAGAAATTAAGGTGCAAAAGGGAACGAGAACCCAAACTCTGGAATTAGGCATCTTGGACTGCGAACATCTAGATAAACAAAATCTTAAGATGTTCTGAGATTTATTGGCAAAGAATAGAACTATACATTCCAGATGTTAAAGGCCCATTTCTAAATATTCAAATAAGTTGATTTTTCAGAGAGTGAGGAAATCACCCTTTGTCAGTCATTGCCATTTGCCTTTTTTTGGCCCTCGATATCTCTTGGTATTTTATTTATTTATTTATTTTTATTAAGTTTATTGGTACATTTTAGGTGTACAGTAAAGTTACATTCATTATTGGGATCTTGTACCTTTACATGACAAGTCTTGGTTCTCATTTTTTCCCCTTGTCCCTGCCCTCCCTTCACCCCCTCCTCCCCTCCCCATTTACAAACATTTTATTTCCATTTTTTTTCATTTTCTCATATTTTTTTCTTTTCTCTTATTACATTTCACCTACCCTTCCCACTTTCCCTACACCTTGAGCCCTTTTCTTCCTATTTGACATTGTCAATTATCTCATTAGGATCTTATATTTTTATTTATTTTTTAAACAAAGAGTAGATGTTATTTTGGAGTCTTTATTTATTTGTGGGGGTGTTGAGATACGGTCTCACTGCACAGTTCAGTCTGGCTTTTAACTACTATGTGGCTCAGGCTGCCCTGGAACTCACAGAGATCCTCTTGCCTCAGCCTCCCAAGGGCTGGGATGACAGGTATGTTCCACCATGACCAGAAAAAAAAAATTTGGGGGGGGCATTGCTGGGGAATTGAACCTGGGACCTCCTATGTGCTGGGTGAGCACTCTGCTGCGGAACTATAGCCCCAGCCCCTTTATTTAAAAAATGTCTAACCCTTGTGAGTGTGCCTCTGTGAGATTTACAAATGACATACGTTTAAGCCTAGAAAAGGTGAATCCTTCATCTAGGGACTGGGCAGAGAGCTACTTCTGGGCCGGAAGTAAAGGAAAAGGATGGGGGAGAGGCAGTGTCCCTGGGACCTCTGGAAGCCAAGAAAAGCAACAGAAGACCATGGCCAGTTTACACTGGAAACCTTGCATTCGAGGGAAATGGAAAAGAGCTTCAGGAAATGGCAGGGAGGAGAAGACTGAGGTGCTGGGGGCTCCACACCAGGCCTCTCGCCAGAGCTCATGCCTTGCATCTCTGACGCCTCTGTCCCTGCTGGCCTTTCCTGCCCTCAGACTCAGCAGAGGCGCCTCCCTCCTAGAACCACAGAAACCTAACAGAATCAGGGCAGTTAGTACTCCTTCTCCTACTGCCCTGAGACCCTCAAAATAGGAGTAATTCTTCTAGCACGTAAAATATAAAAAGTAGGAATTCTGCGATCCTAATTGCAAAATTGTAAACTGCCGTTGGTCTTGTATTTGACTGTCCAATACATGGCTCAATGAAACCTAAGTGCTTCTGTGAGAAAAAATACATAGTAACTACCAAACTTGGAATTCATCAACAGTTGTCTTAAAGAAAGTATAGGTTTAAATTATGAAAGGCCTTTATAGCTTATCAGATTTTAAAAGTTTAGGCTAGATGTGGTGGCGCACGCCTGTAATCCCAGCACTCTGGAGGCTGAGGTAGGAGGATGCTACAAGTTTGAGGCCAGCCTGGGTTACTTAGAGAGTCCAAGGCCATCCTGAACTACACAGCAAGGCCCTGGCTAAAAAAAAAAAAAAAAA